TCCACCGGGCTTGTCGGAGGAGCCCGGGCCCTGGACTCCGAGTCGCTTGAAGCGACGTCGATCGGAGCGTAGTTCGGATCCGACTTGAGGCGGCGGCGGCGGCGTCGCTGACGACGGCGACAGTGACGTCGAGCTTTGCTGCCCACGTCTAGGGATGTCGGCGCTACGACATCCGAGGCACTCGTGGCCTCGTGTGGTACCGTGGTACTCACACAGGAAGCGTGTTCAACGCCTTCCTCTTCAGTTAAGGTCTGGGCGACCGCGTGTGGCACTGTGTTACCCACACAGGAAGCGTGTTTGACGCCTTCCTCTTCAGGTAAGGTCTGGGCGACCGCGTGTGGCACTGTGTTACCCACACAGGAAGCGTATCCGACGTCTTCCTCTTCAGTTAAGGTCTGGGCGACCGTGAGTGGAACTCTGTTGCCCACTCTGAACACGCTGTTCTCAGTGTTCGTGACAGCTGCAGCTGTCTGCGGAGCTAAGTTACCCGCCTGTGGACCTAAGTTACCCACTTGGCCAGCGCCTCTTCTGGGCGCTGCCATCAAAACATCCTCGGAGTCGTCATATACGTTGACGACCCCCAAGCATCTGCCGGATGCTTTGGTACCCTGGCAACCCTTGCGGGCGCCCCGGGTCCTGACAGAGGTGGGAACATGACTCACCAATGCTCTGTCGGACTGCGCAGGGCGGCTGGCACCGATTGCCTGGCCTCGTGCATCGCGCACCCATCACGAAGACTTAGTTCTTCCCCAGTGGGCGCCCCACTAGGGCGCCCCGCCCCTACTGGTTCCCGGCGTTCCCCTGTCCCCGGGATCCTGGCTTCTGCCAGCGACCCTTGAGGACGGGCTTGGGGAGAACCGTCTGCGGAGTCTTTCCGCGGGACAGTCGCGCTTGAAGTGGCCCATCTTCCCACAGTCGAAGCAGCGGATGTCACGCGGTTCGGCGGACCTAAGTTCCATGGGAACTGGTCCGTTGGGGCTTGTTCAACCGGGAGCCGACAAGAAAATCCCAGGCCACGCTGAGGCCGGCGTACGCGCCTGGCGATGGCTGTACTCTTCTTGAAGAGCCACTTGAATCGCCTCTTCAAGGGTGCTTGACTGCACCCGGAACAGCTAAGTGCGCGCGGGGCCCACTCGAAGGCCGTCCATGAACACAGTCATCTTGATGTGTTCGCTGAGTGGGTTTCCCACTAGGGACACCGTGATCTCCCGTATCTCTTGCACATACTCGTGCAGCTCGCGCTTTCCTTGTTTACACGCGAGGAAGCGCGAACGCTGACGGTACTGGTAGTTCGCCGGGAGGAACGCGGCTCGGGGCTGCTCGCACAGCTGAGCCCAGGATGTGAAACATCCAGGGGATGTTGCTTCCCGTGTGTACACCCAACTCTTAGCACGGACGCTAAGGTTGAAGAGTGCGAAAGCAACACGCAGTTGCTCGGTCGAGATAAGAGCCGCGTCCATCGCGAGCTCTACTTCCCGGACCCAGAAGTAAAGGTTGTCGCCTTCCTTCCCTTCATCCGGCTTAACCTTCAGCCGTATTGGCTTCGGGTGAGGCGGATTTGCTTCCGCCGCCAGAGCCTGCAGGCTCTCTCACACATGCGCGATGAGATCCTGCTCGTACGGATCGAATGCATTGACGCGCTCGAGCTGCTCAGCCGGTGTTGACACCACCAGGCTCTGCAGGGCCTCCATCCCGAAGATGCCTGCCATCTTCCGAACCGACTCCAACTGAGAGTCGTTCATATGGGAGAAGTCGTTCATATGGGAGAAGTCGTTCCTATGCATGGCAACGAACTTCGGAGGCTCAGGTAGTCTACCCGCGGTGGCGTGGATTGACTACTAGTGCTACCAAGTGTGACGGGGTCACACAGCACCTTGCGCTAGAGGAAGTTATCTTCCGAGAGTATACAAACTCTCAGTGAGCGGCAGTTCACAGGTCCCCTCTTTTTTTAAAGAGAGCGAAGTGACCTAAATAAGGTATATTGTAAACTGAGTATGTTTATAGGTAGGCTAAGTTTGGGATTAATACAAACTATAAGTTACCTATAGAAATGCAATGTTGTTTGACCAATGGTTGGCTTTGAACGACCTTGGTACCCTGTACCAAATATCCCGGAGTATGACGTGTCATACACCTGAAGTGTGAAGTGTCACACTTCATGTAACCAGGGTACACTTAGGGCTACGTACCCCGCTACATAGAAGCTGTCATTATCCTAGCCTCACAGTTGAGTTTGTAACTATTCTACTTTAAAATAATATATCAAATATAAGGAGATGGTCGGACCACGATACCGGAAGTGAGAGCGATATTTGTAACCGATGTCGTTAACGTTCGACTACCTGAAGTATTACTAATTAACCGTGAGGGAGATGGAGTCCAGGACAATTGTGAGAGTGACGGCAAGGTTGGCGTCGTGTGTTGGCACTGCTGAGCGCATTAATCTACCGCCACAGGCAGCAGGTTTATTAGACGCACGATGTGGACGAGGAGATCGGTAGAGAGCAAGCACAAACGTCTTGATTTCGCTCTATCGACGTTAAACAGCTGCAAGCATTTGCAGTTATTCATCTCGATCGTCTTTGTATTTGTCATAGTGAAAAACTAGAGCAGATGCTCGTCAGTCTTAAAGCCTACTGCTGTTCTAGAGCCTGACCGAAATAGTTATTTGGCTCCGCTTGGTTCACCGAGGGTAAGGTGGCAAGAAACGTACTTGAGTGGGAAAATTCATAAAATATCTTGTTGTATCTAATATTTTTGGTTAATATTAAAGTATAATGTTAGCTTTTAATAAAATAGGATACTATTACTATTTATTATCGAAAATACTATAATTACGATATCTTAAATATCATATGATATTTGGTTACCATTAGCCCCTGGATGTGCGGTTATTTCACGAAATTCTCTGATTGGTTACAGGTTAGTTTCGTGGCAACTGCCATGATCAAACTAAAAAGACACGTGTTTTGTTTAGCACACAAATTGAGATGTGCGGTCATTCCTTTAAAGTTGATATTGAGTGCATGACCACTAGCTTATAAGAACAAGTAAGGAGCTTCGGTAGAGCCGTAATATGGCTCATCTTGAAACCGCACTGTTGAGTGTGGAGCCAGTTAATTTGGGGCATTTTGCTTAGTGTCTCAGTTCTACATGTGTCATTACGTGTGTCGCTATTAATATCGGCCCAAGCCTAATTCTTAGTTTTTACTGTCAGCTTCGATGAAAACAACAGCTCCTCAAGACTCTCCGTTTTAAATTCATTTTGGGTGAAGCAGTAATTTAGGAATCCATGTATCGCATCTAGCATCAATACAGGCAGTGAACTTTAACTCCGCCGGACTCGCGGACCCCGGTCTTAAAAATATATTGGATTACGACTTGGATGCTTGATGCGGGATCTGTGATTGGATTTGCCATCTACACAGCCGTAAACCATACCCTTAAACGCACGTTTTTTAAAGACCTTTACGGTATCGCAGTATGTTTCTTTGAACATACCGTACAACATCATGATGTACTTGAAATCAATAACAATAGTGACAAGAACGCTAATAAACTTAACTCCGCATGAAATAATTTTAAAGCTTTTACAGTATTTTGCCACAATAAAGAACATCTGATATAAATGCAATTTTAAAGGTAAATACGACACATCACGGAACTTCTCCGTACAACATATGTATAGTAATTTGACGCAATATCAGTCGCATAACATATTGAAGGCTATAAGCTCTTTATTGAGGCAGATTACTGTATATAAATCCTTTGAACCCCATGATACGTTTTTCACGTATTTCCATAATTACCATATTGCGCTACATGTAATGTGTGTTAAAAAATTAAGTTATCTAAAGCGACTTACACAAGTACTCTGCAGTATTATAATAATATCATTCAGAGATATCACGCTTGCCGACCTGTGATCACATCTTTTAGTATGGATTATGTGCTCGGATTAGAAATTCATGCACCGTCATGAAGATTCTACTTCCCGCTCTATTATTGTGCGATCTATTCGAAATTTCCGCGTATGAGAGACACGACCAGTTGCGCACCCAATCGTGTAGCCTATCATACAAAATGCATTTTGGCGTTAATACAGAATAAACCTCTGACTGGCCATCTTCATTCATGACAAGTGCATGCAGTCCGGGGATCACTCTGCGTTCTCCGCTCTCGCGAGGCCATGCACCACGTGCATCTCCATATCGTCCGCCAAGTCGAGCATCATTCGATCCACCCCCAGAGGACTCTCTTTTCCTCCCTGACCATCCGCCACCGCGTGAGGAAGTGGCCACTCCAGTGCCAAGGCAGCCAAGTCTCTCGGGAACTGAAATCTGCCTGCTGCAGTACCTGCTCAAGCCGACCTGGCGGGCCAAGCTGATGAATTGATGACTGAAGCCGCTGTTTCATAGGCGTCGACGGGGCTAGTGAATGCTCTGGATCAAGTTGCTGCACCTGTACCAGGTACAGAGGCTTCAGGTACGCCAGGCGCACGGGAAATGTCGGGGCTTGTGGATGATTATGTTGATGCAACAGCACCAAATTCGATTTCGGTGAACCATTTAGCCACAGGGCTGACAGAAGATGCTGCACCGGCAGCGCCGGCAGCTACAGCACCCCCTGACAATCGTTATCAACTACTCGTGCGGCCCATTGTGAAGACGTCCATCAATTAGCGTATTCATTAGCTGAAACACTGCGTGAAGCTGATTTTAACGAGCGGCCATTCTTCTCCATTATGGAGGCTGTTTGGGAAATGTTTTCTGGTCGAGTGAAGAAACATAAAGTCAAGACTGACGGTGTGTGGAGTGTGGAGACTCATCAGGTCGCAGAGTGGGCTAAACTTGTGCAGCTCAAGGTGAAGAAACGTGTAGTAGACTCGACCAGGTCTCGCCAGGCATGGAACCAGTGGCTTGTGGCAACGCGAGGAGCAACGGTGACGCTCATGATTTATGAGTATGGCATGGCCATCGACAAAAGATCGGGACGAGCTCATGAAGGCACGCATTTTGCCCGAGGAGACGGACCGTGCTGGCGCTGCAGTAGAGTCTTCGGTGCGAGATGCGCTGTCACTTCAACTTCAACGTGTATATGGCATCTCATTGGATAATAAACATATGTTTTCTTAATTTTGGCCTCTAACAACGCAGCGTCGATTCGCCGTCCGCTTCGCGCCTTTCTCCGAATCGTCCCGCTTCGGCAAATTGGGGCGGAATTGACAATAATAGCCGCTAGACTAGCAATTGTGCACGATGGTATGTGATGATCGAAGTCCATTTCGCTTTTTCCTCTTCAAGCACAAGTCAAGCTACCGTAGTTTTGCTGCCACACCACCTCCTTCTTAAATCCCAAGATGCGAAAATTTCACAGTATCGCCATAATACTTTCTATGGCCACGTCAGTTGCCGGATTTCGCTAGCTAAAGACGTGGGTGAGCCTGTACTTTCAAGTTACCGTATCGAAGACACCGACTTGACGCCTGACGAAGAGAATCGTGGCTTCGGCGGATCGGACACTGACATCAGCAAGTATCCTTTCGTTGCAGGACTGATCCTTGAAAGGACTGATGACGAACCGATTTGTGGTGGCACACTGGTTGCACCTCTGTTCGTTATGACGTCTGCATACTGTATTGAGCCGTTCACAAGTGACTTACACGTTTATCTCGAAGCACGACACAGTTAGAAAGGACGTGCTCAGAAAGCTGAGAAGATTCGTGTCGTTGAATTTTTTGAGCACCCGGAACTAAATAATGGTAAAGATGTGGCGTTGCTGAAACTTGAAAAACCCTCGACACGGAAACCAGCACCTCTTGCTGATATCAACCGATCGGACGAGAAGTGTGGCACAATGGCTGCTGCTGCTGCTGGGTGGGGTTACACGAAGGAACATGCAGTTCCTGATACTCTTCAAGTTGTTGACGTCAAGATTATTCTTGATAACGAGTGTGTAAAGTACTCTGTTAACACCGACGTCACACTTTGTGCCGGGACTGAACATGGGGAAGGTGTTTGTTATGGCGACTACGGCAGCCCCCTTATTGCCAATGGGGCGGTCGTGGGTATCGCTTCTAATGTATCTCTTTCGGATGTGAGTTGTGGCGATCAACCCGAATTATACATTCGCGTTTCTGAAATACGCGACTTCGTCACTGATGTTGTCAACGGTGGATCCACCGCTAATGTCACCGATGACCACGCGACAAGATATGTTTTAGCTCCATAGATTCTTTCACAGCTCGGGACCCCAGCGTTTATCCACCAAGGCAACCGACGCGCGCATTGAGACAAGCGGCGACAAGGTTGTAGTAGGTCGTTAAGTAGGGCAGTTAAATGCCGAACATGCTCCAAAAAGACCTATTTTAGCTGATCGTTATTAATAAGTGAAAAATAAAACATTACGATCCCTAAAAAAGACCAGATTCTGGGACAATGACCCTTACAAAAACTAAGTCAAAACCATGTGTATATTCTTACCACTCTGGTGCCAACTCGATGCGAAATCAAATGCATGATAAAGCACTGATACGGAGGCGCTACACTGTACCTGTCATCCTCGTCGGTCGCACCTCAGGAGGGATATCATGGGCGCGTTTTGACCCACCAACCCATCATTTGAGTCGATCTTTGATGGAGCATTTGTCTTTTATACTTAATTCAAGCTAAAAGCGAGGCTGTTTTGGCCGACTTTGTCAAAATTCTTATCCAAACTGGCCATGGTGGAGCCTAAAATATTTGTCTTCCCACACTCTACCCTCGCCGCGCCCTATCGGACTACTTCGAAACCTGCAGCAATAAATTTATAAAAGCTGTCCCGAAAAGGGCTCTCCCCATTACCCTGTCCGCCGAGGATATCGATAGTGCCTAAAAAAAATTTCGAAACCGGAAGCCCAGTCTTGCTCCCCAAATTCTGATCCAAATGTCGTACTACGTATTATACTACCGCTGCACGAAAAAGAAAACATTTATAACTCTTTGTTTCATTTCGGGATATAGGCTGTGCGACGGTTTGTTTTTTTTTATGATTTCACAGGTATTTCATCGCTCATTACTACTACTACGTACACCGTTCACGCAAATTAGTCATACCCCGACCAATTGTGGTGTACAAATCGTTAAATACTAGACGGGACGGCTTCTTTAATGTCATGAACGACACCGTACATGTGGAGTAACGGGTTTGTGTGAAAAGGATCCAACACGCCACTCCCTTCTCCACTTCAACTAGATCCATAGCACTGCTGCTACACCGTTCACGCTGATAAGTCGTAGTTCGCAATTAGTCTCGCATTCGCACTTTAGTGACGTCACATATTTGGGATATTTGGCAAAAATCCAATAAAAACCAGAGAAAACTACCGGTTTTGAGTAGATCCCACTGAGCACTATATTCCAGCATACTCGGCTTAGAATATAGACCGGTAATTTTATAAAATGGGCAGGTAAAATCCCAATATTTTGGGCTCCGATTGGTACACCACAATTAGTCGGGGTATGACTAATTAGCGTGAACGGTGTGCATAACGTGCACTGTAATCTCTCCTACTTGTGTGTTTCGGTCAGTAATGGGATGGTCTACCTTTCCTTACCCGTAGTAGCCGGATAAAACAATTTTCAGCTTGGATCTTTCTATAATCACGCCGACCACCAATAAAAAAATGCTGAACCTGCTCACAGTGTGAGTCACACAGTGTGGCTCGGTCCCTGGTATGTGTTTTCGGATTTTTGAGGGAGCAGATTTAAATGTACTGGTGGGCACGATTTTGAAAATACCGCCACTGTGCGGACATTCCTTTCTTCAGTAAACAAAGATGATATTGAGTGCATGTTGAAGCAGCCGTAATACCTGTCTTGCTACTAACAAGTTGTTAGACCTAATAAAGCACATTCCAGTCTACTAAGAAGTACTATATACCAATGTAATCAGTATGCTTTGCACAGCAGCGTTCTCTTGTTCAGGACAGAAATAGTACGAGCAGGATCCCTTGACCGAAAAGACCGAAACCTAAGAAAGTGAAAGAGGGGGTGGCAGTTATACAGATTTTTTTGTAGCTGCATCGAGAATGGGATATCCTTTTTCACATTCCGCGGTAATCACTAATCACCCATAGGTACGCTCTAATAGGTCTCCCTTGGTAGAATGTCCTTTATTTTGAAGGGGTAATTTTAACTAGTTTAAAGTGGTGTTTGCTGTTTCTTTTCTGAGCGCAGTACATGCCTGCTTATAAATAACATGTGTCACTTTAGTTGTTGATAATATCGTCTTCTTATCCAGGTGCACTTTACCCGATGCTACTAGCTGGCTTACGCTATTGCAATGTGTACGAGCGAAGCCATTGGCTTCGTCGCCATTAATTCTAAATCTACTTATATTTTCATAAGTCCCTAAATCACGCTAGGTCACCTAGCTCTAACCTCCATAGGTTATATTGCTCAAGCTAAGCCTCACTACCAGCAATGCACGTGTGTGCAACCCTCGATGACCAGCTGCTACGTATGGAGGGCGATAATCCGAGGAAGAGAGAGAGAAGTGACAAGCGAGCGCGAGTGAAGGTGATTCGCTGGTATTGTAGAAAGCAGCGGACTCGTAGGCCTGGGTGCTCACCAATGAAGGAAAATGAAAAGTAATAGATTATATGGTATTGGCTTTCAGTCGCACACAGCCACCTTTGTTAACTGTCTGTCCTGGTCTCAGTGCTTGTCCTAAATCAGTTCTTACCTCCATGAGCAGGTCTTCAATGTGCATTCCAACACGACCCCATTTCGATCAACCTCACATGCACCTTGATCGGATCGTGCAATCATCGCACGATCCCAATGTCCACAACCGGAAAGGGTTTCTGGAGGCAACGCGTATCAGAGGCTTTGGGAACGCGTCAAGTGGCTTTTCTTCTCCTTTCACCTTGTACAGATCAACAACGTCTTTCTGCACTTGGGCTTAAACGAAATACCATCGTACCTCAAACTGTCGGGTACGTCGACTGTACATCGAGCTGGTAGTCAACGCGTGGGCTTCGTGATTGTCAATCAGGATCTTAAACCCCACATCGTGTTTTGGTAGTATTTCTTGCAAAATATTACTGGCCGTCGCTGCTTCCATTGCGACCTCACATACTGCAACGTACTCGGCCTCTGCAGTGGATAATGCCACAGTGGATTTCTGTCGAGACATTCACGAAATTGCCCCATCTGCCAATGAAACTCCAGTGGTGCTCTTTTATGGGTAGCCCAGGCACTGTCGCAACAACGTTTCAGAGTCACCTTTCCACTCTTCACGTGCTCTCGTTTGTAGGATATACCGTAGTTTACTGTGTTCGCGAGGTAGCGTAGAACGTGCTTCAACGTTCCTACGTGTTTAGCCGATGGCCTCGCGACGAATTGGCTAAGCTGTCTAATAGCAAAAGCTAAATCCCTGATGGTACTCTCAGCCAACTGTGCTGCCATTTCTCCAAGCGCCGCCTCTCGCCAGAAATCATAATACTTGGATAGTATAGCTTCGCGACGATGCTTTGGCACTTGACGTCACTAGTCCTAATAGGTTTGCCACTGCTATTCAGAATCCGTTGCGATTGCTGCACTACATTCACCCATAATCACTAAGTAGTTAGGATGGCTACGCTCACAAACTTCCCGAGGTCCAGTGCGTTTCTGCTTCGTCTCCGGTTTTACTGCAGTTCGCTCAATCCTCTCTAATTCGGACTTTGTTTCAACGCGATGTGTACGCTTGACAGTTTGTTTCGGTGGCGAGATAGCACTAACGTCGCTTCATGTTCATCCCAAATATGCCCAACGAACACCTCGGTGTCATCGTCTCTGTGGTCACCACATACACTTGCTACCGTTACGTCTTTCTTTTTTCAATCATCAACACTTGAAGCATCCACGGTCTAGTGTGACAGTTCCTTCAGTGCTCCAGACGTAAACGGTGAGCCACAAACCCCTGCAACGGATTCGTTTGCATCGCTATCACTGAGGTCCTTTTGTGAACTTAGCATTTCATCTGAGTTGGGCAAACAGATTCGATGCACTAGACCTCCTGAGTCCTTGAGGATCCGCTCGTGTATCTGACTGATCGTATATCCTTCGGTTCGCATTGCATGTGGTATTGGCTAGCCAAATTTGTACAATCTTGACTTTATAATTCAACGGTCTCGCTGATACTGATAGTTCTATCGACTTCGGAGGCAATCTCTGTGATCTCCTCACCCTTCATGGCTTCTCTATCCATCCCAGAGTGCAAAGACTCCAAACCAGCATCCACGACATCTATGTCATGTCGGTCACGATACACATTTTCTTTAGTGACGCGCAAGTCCGTAATAATTTCGCAGTGCGCTTCTCTGAGAATAATGCCTTACCCTCCACTACAGCTTCAGCATATCCGAGGACAAACCTGATCTTCGCGTTTACTAGATATTTGCGTGCTCCCGGTGTAACAGATACGTGCACGTAGGCCGAAGCTCCGATCTTGCGAAGGTGGTGTACGTCTGGCTTTACAAATCTCATTTCGAACGGAATCCCACCAGTACCTTTATTATGGGCTCGATCGGGCATTCCGATTATACAGTTGCAACCATATTGAAGGTCCATGCCGAAATAAGCTATTGCTACAAAACCTACAGCTTAAGAAATGAATAATTGACATCAATAATAGTGTATTGGAAAATAAACTACTTAGATGTACAGCACTGCACATTACTTTCGGAGTCGTTCCTACAACACAGCTACAACGTCACGACATCAGGTTGAGAGCAACACAATCGAGTGTTGTGTTGCTACGTAATTTATCTACGTTTTCTTTACTGTGAAAATTTCCGACTAAATTGAAAATTCGCAAGATCCAGTTTTCGCACTTAAGTACGATCCCCCCAAATCATTTCCAGCCTCCCATTTTTGTATTTTGAATACAGACACGAGAAACCAGCCTCCAGCAAGTATGACACCAGCGAAGAAGGGTTGGCAGGCAAACGCGCGCCCCTTAAACTCAGCGACGAGAGCTAAGGGAGGGAAGGACGTGACGAAGAAGAAGGGGAGACCGTCGAAGCCACCACACGCGAGCTCGCTGAGAATCGACGCACCTGGTAAGTCGCGTTTGTATTAAGTTTCTAAATCGATTTACCAACACAACGCTGATGTCACGTTTAGCTGCTGATGCAGCTACGCACTCTTCTCCTGGACCAATGATAACCAAGCCTGCAAGCGCGCCCGGGCAGGACACGTCGGGTAAGCTGTTGCCATGTGACGTAGTGTATCGTGTCTGCTTACCCGCTTTGTTTCTTTTGTTTTTGCGTTGCATTAAGCGCAAGATGCATCCTCTGGG